CGCTCTTCAGAAAAGAACAATTTAATATAGAATATCAGGTCTTATGACACTAAAGCCTGCATGAAGGTGAGCATTATTACAGTGATTTCTACTGACCTGCACCCTGAAACAGAACTATAATGTGTTAAAAAGTTGATCATATCAGTGCCTGAGTCCAAAGTTGCCAGCACATTCAGTCAGGAGACATATTCCATATAAAGGCCAGAAAAAAAGAATTCAGGAAGTAATACACAGAAATCCAGCAATATCAACATTTGAAAGAGGAAGAGTACAGCAACAAAACAGCTGTTATAATGTCACTTATCAGTAAATATTCTTATTCAATGCAGCCAACAGAAATCAGTGTGCATATTGTACAAGTAAAAAACAATATTAAGAAGTCATATCACTGAAGGATTTGCTTCTGAGGAAACCAGAAAACTAAAATATCTTCAGGTGCTCATCTGAGCATTTGTTTAAGACCAATTTGAACAGTTAGCTTAGGCACTGTCAGTGATGCTGCAGTTACATATAAAACCAAACAAATGTGCTGCACCTGTGAATTAAGCCAATTTGTTTGGCCTATGGAAATTATAAAATTAAAAAAGAAAAGTTGTGAGACTGCCTTGCATTGAGCAAACTGACTAGCAAATCTACTATTACAAGATGGGTTTCATGTAACATATGATGAAAATATGATTATACTTGGTCTGCTATTTTTTGGATCTAAAATAATGGGAAGGCTAAGTAAGTAGAGATTGAAAAGGAAACACACATTGTAGATGTTTGCCTTGATGAAAGTCAGTCCATTACCTAATTTGAAATTCTAGTCTCTTCCATCATGCTTTCTTAGCTGAAAATTAATTCTCAGAATTCATTAGTGTCACTACATTAAACATAGGTTGCAGCCATTTGCTGCAGTCTCGGTCAGGCTCCTAAGCAGCATTTCCGTTCTGCCACAATTACGGGCAAAGATGAAGCATTTATTAGCAAGGGATAAGAGCAGCCTCCTATACACACAGGCCCATCTGAGACAGCCTCTAAAAATTCACTGGCTGCTTGCACTTGGACGATAACATTGTTGG